GAGGATCCCAGGTTGTGAGTCTCACGATCTGGATGTTTGTGTACTTTTTGCTTTCCCTTTGATGTTGTCTTCCGGGAAGATTCAGGTTTTTGACCTTTTTCTGCTAAAACCTGGGCCAACATGTCTTTTAGTTGGAGAAGTGTCTCCTGTTGCGCCTGTAGCATGACATGATGTTCGCCCACCCTTTTGGCTATGTCCTCGGGATTTCCCGCCATATAAGCAGAAACCTCTTGTGGTCCGACCGAGCTCGAAGATTGAGATTCGGCTATTGCCGAATGTTTATCACTCGTTGTAATCCCTTTGGCTAACTTTTGATAATTAACCGGTCGTATAGCTCCGGTCCGTGACCGAGTATGCTGATACACCCCTTCGAACTCCTCACAGATTTCTCGAACAGTCGGGGAATGACTCCTTTCTGATTCATCAGAGCTAGGATATGAGATCTTCCCTCTGCCGGTCATGTTGATAGTAACCTGAGGGTACTCGGCTTCAGGATCTTTCTTCTTATGATGATGTCGTCTCTTGGTAGGTCTGACGACATCCGCCAATCTGTCGAACACCGATTGTCGGGGTTTAGGTGCGCAACATTGGCATTCGGAAAGGACTGCTGAGATAATCCTCTCACAATGGCAGGAATGATTCGCCTGCTGAATTGGTTTTCTTCTAGAGAGTAAATCTCGCAAGTCAGAACCTTGAGATTGATTCTTCATCGGAGATAGGACCCTCTGTTTTTGAGGGGGCGAGCCTGGTTCTTGGTGGACGTGAATCTTGAGTCCACTTCGATCCTCTTGAACTTGGCGGACCACATCGCATTCGGAAGTCGAAATGCGAGGGTCGCGTTGTGATCTATAAACACTAGGCCTTGGCCTGCGTTTAGTTGATGGAACAGGCCCCTTAGGGTCTTGTTTTGTTTGGACGCACTCATGAGGTGCCTGTTTTCCCTTAACAGGGCTGTGTTTTGATTGGACAACGCACCACTGAGGGTTGCGTTTAAGTTGAATCACCCGAGGTTCATAGTCGGATTCATTACCTCGAAGGATGCGTTCTGGAGTATGAACGCACTGTTCGGGTAAAACTTCGGCCACACAATCCTTGCGTTGGGCGAGGGATTGATATTCACGGAGATGTGCTCGTCTGATGGATCTTCTCCGTCTTCGAGCGGTGTTTTTCTTGGCTTGTTACAAAGCCTTAGCTGCAGCGTCGTTGGCATTGATTGAACCTTTCTCTATCATAGGCCTCTTGCATCCTAATACACGCCGTGTCGAGGTGGGCGTGGAATCTTCAGCTTGTAGAGCAAGTATGAGGCTTTTGCCGAAGGAGAGGGCTTTCTTCGGTGTTTCAACAGCAGTCAATACATCTTTAAAGCTCTTAGAGGCATCTCGCCTAGCTTTAGGGCTAAGCGATCCAGCGGAGAGGGCCTCCTCGTATTTGGCTTGGTCAAACTCCACAACAAGAGTCTCGACCGTGGTTCCAGTGAGGTGAACGTCGGACTGCGCCACCACTTCTTCGTCAGAGAAGCTAGTCCCCAGCAGAGTCGCCATCTTTTGTTTGGTGGAAAATTTATAATAAGAAAACAAGGAAAGAACTGTATTTGATTTTATTCTCTCTAACTGCTTAGAAAAAGAATGATTACAATTCTCTCAACTCTCGATTACAATTTGAATTCCTGGTTACAAAAGAGAAGAGAATGATCTGGATTCTCCCCTTTGTTTAATTCTGGGTTCTTCACGGTAGCGATGGAGTGCCTCCCTCGAATGCGCGCGTCGAGTTTGCTCGCCGTTGACGATCCGAATGTCTTAATTCACTGGAACAACAGTCTTGTCTTGTTGATAACTCTTGACGAGTTTTGTGATTCAAACTCTAATAACAGTATTAGAGATGTTCAGACCGAAAATGATTCGGTTAATAAGCCAAGTATTCGAAGATCTGGAATTCTCAATGGATGTTGATTCCCCAGACTGTGTAAGAAATCAATCCCCTTTTTCTAATCAAAATTCAATGCTATCTTCCGACCCTTCGATCTGATTCTTAAAAATTCGATCCTTAACTCTGTTGAGTTTGTTGATATTTATAGGAGGATTAGGGGTGTAACCCCCCCCCATAATCCGCTCCTAAATGAGGGTTTAGTTACCTCATTAATCGGTTGTAACAACCCACGTAAGCCACTCCTCAAATCGTGGGTGAAGAGCGGGATCGTGTTTGAACAAGTCAGAACTTTGACTTGCGTTCTGGCATAGATTCTGTGTTTGAACGCAGCATCTGGAGGTGCGTTCTGCAGCGATGTGGAGCTGCGTTTGAGCTGTGCTTGGCAGCGGTTGGAGCTGCGTTCGACGGCGCTGATGAGCTGCGTTCGAGCAGCGGTTGATGAGTTGCGTTCAGGTTTCTCTATCTTTCTATATGGATGACACTAATGATCAATAAAGAAGGTCTTATTCAGGTCATTTGTGACAATTGAGGTATCTCAATAACGCTCTATCAACTGCAAGTCACGATCTCCACTAAAATTTCATGTTTTAACCATGTGCTCCTCAGTGTGTCGAATATTTGTTCACAGCTCTCTAGATCTTCCTGCTTTTCTAAAATCATTACACTGCTCATCAGCATCTCTAATGGTTGCTAATATGATATTAGTCATGTTGTTATCGCAGCCATCAAGATCAATCCTCCCACATAAGAAGCGGCATTGGTGTTCGAATTGGTGTTATATCTTGACGATGGTATTCAGTAAGGGCTTCTACGTCTTGGTTTGAAGAGATCGTCGATTTGTAATCTCTTTCTGTCAGAGCGTTGCTAAAGATCGTCGTTTCGTAATCCTTGCTTCAACTCCTTGATATAGGAAAGTCTTCAAGTCGTAGCCTTCTGGAAGTCGTTAGATTATAATTTCCATGATGGGTGTTTAATGGGGAATCAGCTATCTATTGTTATTTTTAAACAGCCTACAATTGGTTGCAGGAGCAGATATGGAGGATATCAGGAGTTTGAAGTAGCAGCTGTCAAAGGAATTTGACATGAAGAACTTGGGTCCAGCGAAGAAGATCATTGGAATGCAAATCACGAGAGATAAGAAGAGATGTCTCTTGCAGTTATCTCAGACGGAGTACATCAACCGTGTTTTGCAAAGATTCAGCATGGGCGACGCCAAGCCAGTGAGCACACCCTTGGCTAGCCATTTTCACCTATCGAATGATCAGTCTCCTCGGTCAGAAGAAGAGAAAGAGAGTATGGCTAAGGTTCCTTACGCCTCAGCTATCGGAAGTTTGATGTACGCAATGGTCTGTACGAGACCAGACATTGGTCATGCAATGGGAGTGGTTAGCTGGTTTATGTCGAATCCAGGAAAAGCTCATTGGGAAGCGGTCAAGTGGATTCTGAAATATCTACAAGGCACCACACAAAAGTGTTTGCACTTTGGTAAGGGAGAGGTGGAAGTGCAAGGGTACGTAGATGCAGACTTTGACGGTGAAGTCGATCACCGAAGAAGCACCACCGACTATGTATTCACTGTTAGAACTACAGTTGTTAGTTGGATATCACAGATACAGAAGATTGTCACTCTGTCCACTACAGAAGCTGAGTATGTTGTAGTGACTGAAGCCAGCAAAAAGATGATATGGCTTCAGGGTTTGTTAACAGAGCTGGGATTCAAACAGGAGAAGAATGTTCTGCACAGCGATAGTCAGAGTGCGATTCACTTGGCTAAGAATTTTGCATTTCATTCTAGAACAAAGCATATTAGGCTTCGGTACCACTTCATCAGATCCCTGTTGGAAGATGACGTGTTAAAACAGGAGAAAATTCCAGGAAGTAAGAATCCAGCAGATATGTTAACAAAGGCAGTGACCGTTCAGAAACTGAAGTTGTGCGCAACTTCAGTTGGCCTTCATGCATAAGTGATGAGGGCGGAGCCACACAGGAGATGATGCTTGTTGAGATAGCCTGCTGACGTCGGTTTGATCTCCAAGTAGAAGATTATTGGAAATAGGGGTGTGGATACCAACCTCCGCCGGCAAGGAGCTCCGACGAGCTCGAGATCCACGCAGGCAAGCGTGGGCGACGTCCGTGGGTGAAGACGAGGCTGGGAAGACGAAGTTCGGGAGCGAGCTTCGAGCAAACGAGGGTCAGCTTCAGACGAGGTTCGAGTGGTCGAGGTTCGTGGTTCGATTGGGCGACGTTCGAGTTCGAACGAGCTTCGGCGAACGAGGCTCGAGCTCAGCGCATGAGCTGGCGACAAACTGTCGCCAACGTAACCCTAGGGTTTCCCTATAAAAGAGAAACCCAATGCTCGAGCTCTGTGTGCTCTCCCTCTCTCTCGTGTGCTCTTCTCCAGTGGCGATTTCTCCCCAGGCGGCGGCCATTTTTCCCTCCTGCTCTTTTTCTTTTTTCCTCCAGCACTCTCGATTTGGGGGGAGGATTTTAGAGAGAGAGAAGAAATTAAAAGGAAATTAAAGGGGTTCCTAAGAGCATTGAATATGGATTATTCCCTTTGGTCATTTAACACTGTTGCTACAGTGTTTGTTTGAGATCTGCTCTTGTGGTGTAATTTCTTGTTGATTAATAAGAAATTTATTGTGTGGTTTCCGAGGACGTAGACAGTTGCCGAACCTCGTTAAATCTTGGTGTACTTTTTCTATTCTGCGTTTCTACTGCATTTGGGGGTTTCGGCGTTAAATTCCCAACACTCTATCTATAATTGATTAAGTTGGTGATTAGGTTAATACTTATGAAAGATGATGAGCACTTACGTATGCTAACAAAAAGAATTGATAAGCCGATTAGGAGATCCCTAGAATCAAAAGTATCTTGCCGCGTTTACTTTGTTCAAAATCATGTTATATAATCCTTTTCCTTGAAAAAAAAAGCTCAATTATGTATTCGTACCTTTTCCACTTCTAACCCCACTAATCAATCCACCACATTTTAATTCGCACCAAGTAGCCCTTGCCTCTCACTATCTTAGATAGTGAGGAAACTCTGTATATATTAGCTATGTAACCCCTCCCTTCAAATTCTTTATAAGCTAAGCAAATCCATTCAATTCTCTCAAAAGTTCTTAGAAAATATATCATGTTCAGCTTCCTGAGAGCAAAGAAATCTATACCAGATGCTATATCTGTAAGTATCAAAAGGGCAAAATCTTGTACTTCTCAAACCTATGTATATTCCTTTGTTCAAATAATTTCTTGTGTATAATCTCCGATTCTTCAGATTGTGGAGCTTAGCGTTCATATGGACTGCGAGGGATGTGAAAAGAGAGTAAGAAAAGCAATCAAGAAGCTAGATGGTAAGTTCGATAATATTAACAAAAGTTTCATTTATGTTTCAAGTAAACATTCTTAAAATTTTGTAGTCTTCACTATTTAGGAGTTGATAATGTGGTGATAGACATGGATACGCAAAAGGTGACTGTTACAGGATACGTAGATCAAAGGAGAGTTCTCAAGGCAGTGAGGAGAACAGGAAGGAAAGCTGAATTCTGGCCACATCCATATGATGCAGAATATTACCCTTTTGCCCTTGCATATCTCGAGGATTCGACCTACTCATCAACACATAACTACTACCAGCATGGGTATAATTCGAGCGTGCATGGCCACTTTCCGGATCCTGCATACTCAACGGTTGATGACCATGCCATGGCTCTTTTTAATGATGAAAATGTTCATGCTTGTGTGATCATGTAGTAATTAATGTAGCTCAAAAATCATCGATAGATAAGAAATGAATAAATGACCGGTAGGTTTCATCTTCGTATGCTTCAACCATAATTACATGCCTGGAAGACCTGTATTTTATTTCCAAAGAATTTATTGACTACGATATGCAATTTTATCCAGCACATCTCATGGTTTCAGATCATTATGTACCCTGTACCCAAAACTCAGTAACATTGTTATGAAGCTACAGTTACTCGTGGGAAATGACCATCTCTTTTTAAGGGGAGTGTGTTTTCTGAACCGTTCTCTGGAGAACCTACTAAAACAAGTTGCGACATAATTTATGCTGCTCATCACAGAGATAGAGCATCATTTCATATAATAATTATCAATCACAGGATGCGCTGTAAGACTAAGAAACAAGGATCCCCTCATTGGAGGTGTTCCTATAATACTTTGATCAATGTTTGTGCCTTACGACAAGTCATTTGCACCGGTAAGCTATAGTATATTTATGTATCAACTCACTCAATGCAGATAAAATTGCAGAGCCGTTGTGTATTTAAATCCAGTGGTGATTTGAACTATAGTCCGCTCTTCTTCCTTCTTCTGACACCATTCAACTAGTTCAACAATACTTTTAGTCCATAGTCAAATCTTAAAACAAACATTTGGAAACCAGCTGAATATTTGTTCATGAGTGATATGTCTGGCAACTGCTAACTAGGCTTACTTTAGCTTTCTTCCTTTCTCTTAAAATGCATAAAAATATGATAATTTTAATGGGGGTTAAGCGGGCCGTAATTTTTATTTTTATTTTTTAGAATTTATTATAAAAACTGTTGCCATATATTATTTATCATCATGAATAGTGATTTGTATCCAATATATGGGTCTATGTATGACTGTTATGAATAACATAACAATTCTTTCCAAAGTATACAAGGTTACTTGCATTTTTTAGCTTATCTTTATCAGCATAGAGCTCTAGCTAGCTTATCTTCTCCGACATCAAAATGTGAAAATGGGGAATAGGTTTACTACCTAATTCAATAATTCATACTGCCAATCATTCATTTAGTTCAACTTCTTCCTATCCCCTATACTGGATATCAATTCTATGACCAGTTGAAAAAGCGTCATCTTTTGTACTTTCCACAGAACAGAAGCTAGAAGCAGTTGATTTTTCTAGAAAAAATAAAATGAAATAAATGACTGACTTTTACAAATTAGACATTTCTCTCAATAATAAAACTTTGATTGTGCAGTAGATAATGTATTTTTGCTCCTTTTTTTATTTTTTTCCCCTCTCTATGAAGAGGGTATGATAAGCCAAGTTCTAGCAATATAAGAGCATAATAAGCAATCTTCAGAATCTCTAGTCCTAATGTCAACTTGATTTTTAATGGAAAACGAACTAAACCTTTGCGCAATCTATCACTTCATGCAATTGTCAGATGATGCCTTGTGCTGCAAAAGAGGGAATTATTGGTAGCTTTGCCTGCAGATACTCTAAACAGTGGAAGACAATGTGTGCACAAGTTGTCGAATGAGAGAATATTACCCAACGGTACGTCCCATGATGGTAGAAAATGCTTTGTTCTAGTTTTCTGTCGACTGAATTGATCGATACGAGTGAGAGGAAAAATGTTGGAGGCAGATTTTATCAGGGGATTGTCGGAACTTATTTGAAATGGAAGGACACGGAGCATTATTCTCTTTTGCCCAGCAGAAATAGCGATGCTTGAATAAACCGAAGCTCGTTGCGAGGAGATGAGGAGAATGCGTGGTACCACACTCAACTTGAATCTCAGAGGATTGTTGACAAAGTTTTATTGGTATTGATTCCTTGCAGGGCCAAACTATCTTGATTTTATTCATTGGATAAATATTCAAACACCTTTGCTTTAACGAATTTATGAACGGATTAGGATCCACAGTTGATCTAATGAAACTAGGAAAAATAAGATAGGTTTTAATTTTTGAAACTGGAAAGAGAAAATTTCGACTGTTGTTAAGGCACTGCAAACTGCAGCCAATATCATATTCCTATTTTATTGGATGCCATTAAGTTTAATCTAGCTTAGACCATCAAATTTTGAAAACTTGGCCAGTTAGTAGATTGCTCTGATATGCATTCTAGTTTGTAAATGTTCTACCAGCAGCTGGTCATACAGGGTAAGATGAATAGCTAGAGAAGCTTTGCAGCGCTGGGCAAAGGGCTACGGGCATATTAGACCCTTAAATTATCCATAATTACAAATTAGTCCCTTAAATCTCCATATTTGGTCATTCGTGCCTCAAATCTACATAAACGAGAACACATAGTGGACCTCCGATTGAATTGTAGATTGATATTGGAAGCCAAATCTTTTATTGCTTCTAATTAAACGAGGAGGAAAAATTACGAGAGGTTAACGAATCAAAAACAGTCTCGTGGTTTGCGAACCCTCTCCCAAGGCCTAAACCCTACGACGACCCCCTCACTTGAAAATTCTCTTCAAAAACAACGGTGGTCATATTATTCTGATCAGATATTTCCATTTTCAACAACTCTCCAGGTTTTCAGCAAACTAAACCTCACATCGAAAATAAGGAAAAGATTCCGAGAAACACCATGGTGGGATCGGAAATCGCGGGGGGCAGGCCCCGGAAACGCTCCCTACTCAATTTTAGGTTTTTTTTTTCAACTCTATTTCCTGATATCTTCAATGTTGTTAAATTTCTGAAAATTTTTTTCTTAGTGTTAATTGAAATCCGATATCTAGAATTCCAACTGGCTTCGAGAGTAGGGGCGATTTGGCAGTAAGTAACCATGATTACTGCAATCGCTTTATTTTTGTTGATAGTTTCCCTTTGTGATGATTTTTGATGGGTATCAAATAAGAGTCCGTCATTTGATTGCTGCTAAGGTTTTGGCTTCAGCGACTAATTCGCCGTTCTGTACATTTTGAGCTTGAGGTTTGGAGAAATTGCCTTCTTCTTTAATGGTATTGCATGTTTTGCCACTTGGGAGGAACCTCAGTATCTTAACAAGGCCGCCAGTTTTGTGATTTCCATTGTTGGACGGGATTTCTCATGGTACCTATTCCTCTTTGTTATGCACCGGGAATTGTCCAGACGTTCTGTCTAGGGTTCGATTTTGGACTGGATTATAAAAAATGAGTTTTTCGATATTAGTCCCTTAAATCACTCCTATTTTGATATTAGTCCCCCAAATCTTCATGTTTTGATATTAGTCCCCCAATTGTATAAGTATATTGATATTAGTACTATGGTTAGTTAAGGTTAAAAAAAGAGGGGAATATTCCGTTAAAGTTAGCTTAAACCCATTAAACCCCTAAACCTCATACCCAAACCCACTTACACCCATTAAACCCGATAGACCCGACCCGCGAACATTGTTCATCTTCTCCAACGGTTAGTTTGTATGGAAACAACGACTCTTTTTTTCTTTCCTCTAACAGCGGAGGGAGGAGGTCGGAGATGAGGGCGCGGAGGCAGGACTCGAGGATGGAGGCGAGGGAGGGGTTGCAGGGGTGGTTTATGTCGCGGATATTTTTGGATGAGTTGGGGGACGTAGACTTCAGGAGGGGCGCTGCTGATGAGGTCGTGGATTATGCGATCGACCCACGCGGTCGAGTTCGAGGCGTCGCCCATGTCAGTCGAGATTTGTGGACGAGGGAGGGTCATTGTCGATAGTGTTGGTACTTAAAATGATCTAATACAGATCTAATAACTGTGATTAATCCAAAGAGAATTAATACAACCAGAACGGAAGCTATACCTGAATTCATTAGACAAACTCCCACTAAATCATGATATCCTCAAATAATACCACACCATATGAGCAGTGTGCTCATGAAAGACCTTAGGTGGTAATCCTTTAGTAAGAGGATCAGGTATCATGGAGTTTGTCCTAATATGCTCTATGGATATCTATCTACTCTGTACCCTTTCTTTCACAACTAGGAACTTAATGTCAATATATTTTGACTTAGTTGGCTTCTGTTATTTTTGGAATACATAAGTGTTAATTTATTGTACAAAATAACTTTAGTGGTTTTTTTAACATTTTCTAGAATGCGCAGTCCAGTGATAAACTTTCGTAACCATATTCCATGATTGGATACCTCATGTCAAGCTATAAATTCTGCTACCATAGTGGAGGAATCTACGAGTATCTGTTTGATACTTTTCCATGATATAACTCCTTCTGCTAACATATAAATGTAGCCTGATGTAGACTTCCTGCTATCTTGGCATCCAACAAAATAAGAATCAAAGTACCTAATGACCTCCAGCTATTCTGATTTTCTATATGTAAGCATATAATCTTTTATTTTCTGAAGATACTTCATAACCCTTTTGACTGCTATCCAATGATCTGTACCAGGGTTGCTTTAGTATCTGCCTAGCATACCAAAAATATTCGTAATATCCGGACACATACATACCTGAGCATACATTAGACTTCCTACAGCTGAAGCATAGGGAATCTTCTGTATTTCTTGAATTTCTAGGTTACTTTTAGGACACTGATTGAGACTGAATTTGTTTCCTTTAGCAACAAGGATGTCACCTGGTCTGCAATTTTGCATGCCAAACATTTTGAGTGCTTTATCGATATAGCTCTTTTGTAATAATCCAAGTATACTTCAAGAACGATCTTGATGTATCTGGAATTCTAATATAAAAGAGGCGTTCCTAAGATCTTTCATCTTAAAATTCTTTGATAGAAATCTCTTGGTTTCGTGCAACATGCATATATCATTAGTAATTCTTTGATAGAAATCTCTTGGTTTCGTGCAACATGCATATATCATTAGTGGCAAGCAATATGTCATCGACATACAGAACCAGATCTCTTGGTTTCGTGCAACATGCATATATCATTAGTGGCAAGCAATATGTCATCGACATACAGAACCAGGAAAATATACTTACTCCCACTGAACTTGTGATATGCACAGTCATTAATTATATTCATCTCAAAACCGAACGAGATAATTATTTGTTGAAACTTTTAATACCATTGACGAGGAGCTTACTTGAGTCCATAGATGGATTTTCTTAATTTACAAATCATACTCTTCGGGTCTCCTAACATAAAGTTTTCTGGTTATACCATATAAATCATCTCATCAATATCTCTATTGAGAAATACAGTCTTAACATCCATCTGATGTAACTTAAGGTTAAAATGTGCAACAAGCGCCGTGATTATTCTAAAAGAGTCTTTCGACGAAACCGGAGAGAAAGTCTCTGTATAATCAATGCCTTCCTTTTGAGTAAAAGCTTTAGCTATAAGACGTACCTTATACTATTCCACATTATCATTTGCAACCCGCTTGGTTTTAAATATCCATTTACAACCAATTGGTTTTGCACCTTCTGGTAATGAGACAAGTTTCCAAACCTTATTGTCTTGCATAGACTTGTACTCTTCATTCATGGCATCAATCCATTTTTGAGAGTTAGAACTTTTCATGACCTGAAGGAAGTTGATTGGATCATCTTCCAATATTCTATTATTTTCCTCATGGTCTTAGAGAAATACAATATAATCATCCGGAATAGCATTTCTCTTTTCTCTCATGGATCTCCTTAATGGACTAGTTCTTGAGGTTGTTGAGTTTGTTCTTCTGAAACAGGAAGTTGTTCAACACAATCATCTTGAGGTTCTGAATTTACTTCTTGATTAATAACAGATATAGGTACCTGAATATTATCAAAAGTAACTGTATGGATTGGGTCCGAAACTAATTCCTCCTCAAAAACAATGTTTCTAACCTTATTTTTCCCCAAACTTAACATTCTCAAAGAATGTTGTTGTTCCCGTCTCAAAAATATTCCTAAGTGTAGGATCATAAAACATATAGCCCCTAGAGCGTTCAGAATACCTAATAAAGTAGCTGCTAACTGTTTTAGAGTCCAATTTCTTTTCATTTGACCTATAAGGCCTTGCCTCAACTGGTCATCCCCAAATGTGTAAGTGCATTAAACTGGGCTTTCAACCAGTCCAAAGCTCATAAGGTGTTTTAGCAATTGCTTTACTCGGTACTCTATTCAGAATGTAAGCTGTTGTTATTAATGCTTCTCCCTAGAGTGACTCTGGTAAAGAAGAATGAGTAATCATACTTCTTACTATATTCTTAAGAGTCCTATTTTATCTTTCAGATATACCATTCATGCTAGGTGACCCTGACATGGTGTACTGTGGGACAATACTGCATTCCTCTAGGTATTTAGCAAATGGTCCTGAACGTTGTTCACCTGAACCATCATATCTATCGTACTACTCACCACTATGATCAGATCTAACGATTTTAATCATTTTATTGAGTTGATTCTCTACTTCAGCTTTAAAAGCTTTGAACATGTCCAGAGACTCATATTTTTCATGAATGAGATATAGGTACCCATAACGTGAGTAATCATCTACGAATGATATAAAATATTATTGACCATTCTAAGATGTCGTAGGGAATGGTCCATAAATATCTGTATGTATCAATTCTAAGACTTTTGAAGATCTGTTGGCACCTAATCTCTTAACTTTGATATGTTTTCCTTGGTACATTCAACACATACGTCAAAATCTGAAAAAAAATAAGGGAATCCAAAATATCATCAGACACAAGACACTTAACTTTACCTTTTGAGATATGACCCAAGCTCTTATATCATAATGTCGCTGAATTTTTCTTATTTAATTTACGCTTAGTACCACATGATTCCACATGCAAAGATTTATTATAAGAAGCAATTACTTCATGCAAATATAGGTTGTCATAAGTACTCAAGTAACCAGTTCCCATAACATTTGAATTAAAAGATAAACTGAATTGATTATTTCTAAATGAACATTAATAACCTGATTTGTTCAATACAGAAATATAAATCAAATTTTGTCTAAAAGACGGTACAATAAAATTATCTTTTAAATCCAAATATGAACCAGTTCCTAATAGCAACCTAAAGTGCCCAATTGCTTCCACGTCTATCGATTTTTCGTTGTCCATAAAGATGTATCTTTTAATATCACTTGACTTTCGGTATCTCAGGCAACCCTACATAGAAATACTTATGTGAGTCGTAGCACCAGAGTCTAACCACAAAGTATTTCTAGGTACTGAAGCTAAATTAACCTCATAATAGACCAAAGTAAGAAACATACCCTTCTTAGCATGCCAGGTGTGATATTTGGTACAATCCTTCTTTATGTGTTCAGACTTATTGCAGAAGAAACAACCCTGATCATCCTTATGTTGTTTCTTCTGAACAGGACCCTTAGCAGCTTTATTATTATTCTTTCTTTTCTTGCTCTTATCCTTAAGGTTGTGTTTGGAAAGGGGATAAATGAGGGATTAAGGTGGTTTAACCCTTCATTAGTCTGCCAAACACCAAAAAAAAAACCCAAAGGCTAACAAACTCGCACGTGATCATTTTATCCCATTTATCAGGCTAACCCGAGGGATTACTAATACTCGTGGGAAGGCGGAACAAGGCTTGTTCCACCTTCTCACGCGAGGGTAGCCAAAGGAATTAAGGAAAAAAGACAGGATCTTGTGCTATGAGGCGGCGGAATTCGACAACAGAATCGGAAGGTAAGATCTTGAGAAATCCCTCTATGCTTTCCCTCCCAATTTTCCCTCTAAAATTTCCCTCTATTTTTTTCACCAGAGAGAGCTTTCACAACTATATAGCGCTATTTTTGGGGGAACAATCAAGAAAAGAGAAATTTTTAGTCGATTGGGAGCAATTGGTGACAGGAGGCAAAGGATCTGAGGTATGTTATCTAAATAAATTCCTATTTCTTGATTTTCATGTTCCTATTTCTTGATTTTCATACTTTCTCCTTACCTTTGTGAAAAATTGAATGATTGGGAGCAATTGGAGTACTTTTGTTTCCGTGATGTGGTTTTCAACAAAGTTTTAATAGGAGAGAAATGTATCATGTCGCCGAGCCCAAAGATGTTAGTTGAAGACTGGAATGGTGATTAAGATCTATGTTTTTGGTCTTAAACATTAGTTTTCAACAAAGTTTTAATTGGAGTACTTTTTTCACCAAATTCATTTATTATTGCTCCCACATTAACCTCATTTGTAATGTAAATTGTTATACTTAGCTATCAGTTTTCCCAGATTATTGATTGACTTATTGGAACAGCCATTTGATGATATCGGGATACTGTCTTCATGAATTTTTCGCTATTTAGAGGTCCTGTTCAAGTTTACTAGCATTGGTTTATTTGAAGAAAATTTTCCTGAACAAAATCTACTTCCAATTCTACTTTTAATTCTTAACCAGACATGTTCATACCTGAGCAAAATCATTTATACTTACCTGTATATGCATATTTACTTCCAATTCTCAAATAAATGTACGAATGTAGATTGACAATGTAAAAAATAAGTCTTAACTTTTGCGTCTTCAAAAATGATACGTGTAACTGTTTAGTTGGTGTCAGATTACAAAAATGATATTGTCTTCATGAATTTTTTTCACTATTTAGAGGATCTGGTCAAGTTTACTGCCATTGGTTTATTTGAAGAATATTTCCCTGAACGAGTAATATAGTTTGTAAACATGCTCAACATAATAAAGGTGGTTAGGTGTTGAGAATCTTGAGATCAGTAAGCACTTGGTTACAAATTGATAGGAGGTCCTGTAAGTTTTCATGCACCTTTTCCAGTATCATCAATTAGGATTGTGCATTATCAAAGTATCCCTGTCAATTTAAGATGACTACATCAAAGAGGCACCTACATTTATATGTTTCATGATTAATCATGTGGTTCTTCATTCATTATTAGCTATAACATTCACTATTTACAGTATCCTTGGATGACAATCAGTACAGACACATTGGAGTAAGTTTGAAAGTAGCTTTTAGATTTACAATTTTATTTATAATCCTGTGAAATTTCTGTTTGTATATTTGTTCACAAAATTCCACTGAGCCTGCACTAAATCAAGCTCAGGATTTCCCTGCATAACAATTTGAATTATGTTAGCATACATTCTTTTGATATAAAAACCTTGCTAGAGCTGGACATTATTTACCTTAAAATGTGGAACTGTCTGCTTGAGGAAATCATGGTTTGGTAGAAAATCAACATCAAATATGTCCACAAATTCATAGTTCTTGACCTAATCACAGCTCAAGGCTGATTTAATGTTCCCAGCTTTGTATCCATTTCTCACCAATCTGTGCCTATAAATAATATTGACACCCTTTGGCAATACAACTACTTGAGAGAATGCATCATACCTTACAATGCATAGCCCAAATCTTATAGTTATTTATATTGATTTGTTACCAAAAAATGCATCAAAAGCATGGAATCATTTATACTTACATGTATATGCAATTCTATTTTTAATTCTTAATCAGACATGTTCATACCTATTTAGTTGGTGTCAGATTATACTTACATGTATATGCAATTCTACTTTTAATTCTTAATCATTTAAACTTACATGCATATGCAATTCTACTTTTAATTCTACATTTATACATAAATGATACATGTGTAACTGTTAAGTTGGTGTCAGATTACAAAAATGATACTGTCTTCATGAATTTTCCACTATTTAGAGGATCTGGTCAAGTTTACTACCATTGGTTTATTTGAAGAATATTTTCCTGAACGAGTAATATAGTTTGTAAACATGCTCAACATAATAAAGGTGGTTAGGTGTTGAGAATCTTGAGATCAATAAGCACTTGGTTACAAATTGATAGGAGGTAAAAATATGTTTTCATGCGCCTTTTCCAGGATCATCAATTAAGACTGTGCATTATCAAAGCATCCCTGTCAATTTAAGATGACTACATCAAAAGAGGCACCTACGTTTATATGTTTCATGATTAATCATGTGGTTCTTCATTCATTATTAGCTATAACATTCACTATTTACAGTATCCTTGGATAACAATCAGTACAGACATCAAATATGGCCACAAATTCATAGTTCTTAACATAATCACTTGATTACAAATTGATAGGAGGTCCTTTAGGTTTTCTTGCACCTTTTTCCAGGATCATCAAATAATTTGGGTGCTGGAATCATTAAGATGGTTAGGTGTTGAGATCAGTAAGATGACTACATGTAGCATACAGACTAGGACAGAGTCATGGCTTTGGTTATAGTTTGCAATCATATCGTGCAAAATACGCTGGAATCATTAAGTGGGATAACAAACTATGTCTAGAATCATAAGTGCACACAATACTATGTGTGATTGGTGTTTTTCCATTTATTGAACTTATGGTTATGTACATCCTTCCTCATATTTATATGTTTTTTCCACTTACTGAACTATATCTGGAAAATCATCATCAAACATGGCCACATATTCATATGTATGAATGTAGCATACAGACCAGTTACACATACGATTCGAAAGGACACAACGTGGCAGACCACTTACTGATTTATGCATGGAAAATCAACATCAAATATGGCCACATATTCATACATACACATTGTTAGTACTCTTTTATTGATGTGATGGTAGTTTATAGTATTCTGTAACTACAGTTCATAACATAGCATTTGTTATAGTTTGATTTTGTATTTCTTTGTATTTCCAACTCAATAGTTTACATAGCATTGTTCAATTGATTAATTTATTCTAAAATTCTCATTATGATCTAGAATGGCTAAGAAGAACTTCATATCACAATCTCAATCCGAAGGTGGGCAGTCAAGACCTCGTGCCAGGAACTGGACTATAGAGGAAGATAATTGTTTGATGGGAAAATTAAAGGAAATGGTCCTTAAAGGAAAGAACAATGGAGGTCATTTCACTATCGAGCAATGGCAAAATATAACCGATGAGTATAAAGTTAGGACTTGACAGAAGGATAGAGGCAAACTACAAATGCAAAACCGTTATAAAATTTTTAAAAAACAATATTTCCTTAATTACAAACTTCGAAATAAATCAGGTTGGAGTTGGGATGAAGGTAAAAATATGGTGATTGCGCCTACTGCAAAGGATTGGGAGGCATTGATAAAGGTATTATTTAAATTTCTACCATTAAAACATTTGAATATTATATAATTAAAACTATGATATATTTATTATGAATTTTCTACCGTAGGAAAATGATGAGTATTAAAGAATTAAGAACAAACCATTTCCTCAGTTTGATGATATGGATTTTCTATGTTGAGGTAACACATCTAAGGGGCGCTGGTGGTTTGAGACTACCAATGACTTCAATGAGCGTGAAGGAAGCACTAGTTCAGACAATGAATTAGATGATACTGAGGGGTGACACAGTAACAAGAGTCAAGACTTGAGTGATTCAGAGGAGGTACAAGTAGTGGAAGAGACACAAGTTCCTTTTAATGGTACACAACTACCATCACAACCAATACATATTTCTACTCCAAACATAAAGCAACAAGCTCAACCATCAGGTTTAAAGCGTAAGTTTAAAAATATTTCTCGTCGTCGAGTATCAGATATTAAAGTTGAAAATAATTTGTCAAAGATGATTGAGCTACAAAAGCAGCGAATTAAAATTACAAAAGAGCTAGTAGATTCCAAAAAATTGGTGCCCACTGAAATGAAAGAATACATGGATAAGATAATAAATTTACCAAGTGTAACTAGTGATCTATGTGTGGCAGGAGCAGAAGCTATTAAAAAGAAGGAGAATAGGCATGTTGTTAATATACTTAACGGTCAAATGCTATTATCATGGCTGAAGAAACAAATGGATTTACAAAATGCAATGACTGGTTATCCATCGTCTATTTACAATATCCAACATCAACCACCTCAAATGCACCAGTTCCAAAATGAGTCGTTAAATCAACCAAGCTGGCAAGGTTTTTCTCAAACTTCTCAGGGTCAATCACGAATGTCACAAGCTCATGATAACAACATGCAGGAAATGGAATCATTTGTCAGCTTACTAAAGGAGAAACAAAAATTAAATCAAAATTGATGCTTTATGTTCAAGTCTCAAGAGTCAAGACTAATCAAATTTAGTTTAGTAATATATTTTCTTGATTTTAGTTAAAGTTCATGTTCCAAAGAATAGTTTTCTTATTGTCAGACAATCAATTTATGATTTTGTAATGTTTAGATTATAGCATATGTTGGATGGTTTTTATGTTAGATAATTTTTTGTCAAGGATGTTGTGAACTATAGCCCCCATTCTTTATTAGCTAGTTATCTAATTTTTTTTGTTTCTAATTTGGTTGAAGATGAATTCATTTGAAGATTTTGCAAGCAATCTTAGTGTTGATGATATTGAAGCATTTGATGATGAAGATGATCTTATAGAGGCGTTGCTTTTGAATGATGACGATGAGGATGAATACATGTGGAACGAGATGCTTAATAGCGTCATTCATCAATCAATTGTGATAAAGCAGGTTCCTCGACCATATCGAACTAGACCATTCTCTGGTCATATGCTTGTGGAAGATATGTTAGCTGGACATCCTGAGTATTCATATTCTTGCTTTCGAATGAGTTCTGAGACAATTCTTTTGCTTAAAAATGTTCTAATTGAGAAGAATGCTTTAAGGCTAACTAGATATTTAAGTTGCAATGAACAACTTTGTATATTTCTATACAGAATTTCGCATGCTCTTTCAAATCGAGTATTAGCTGAGATATTCCAATATTCATGAGAGACTATTAGCAAACATTATAATAACGTGCTTAATGCTATTTTATCTTTAAAACAAGATTATATCCAGCTTCCCACCGTTGACGTAGACGTTCATCCTAAGATTCGAGAGAATCCTAATTTATTCCCATATTTTAAGGTAAAGCTAAATGAGTATATTTTTTCCATATATTTTAAAGTGTGTATGTGTGTATGTGTGTACGTTTCTATACATTAAATCTTTATACATTTTTATATTTGCAGAAAGCATTGGGAGCAATTGATGGATCTCATATTCCTATAATTGTGAAGAAAAAGAAACACAACAGATATCATAATCGAAAGAATTTTATATCTTAAAATGTAATGGCAGCGTGCTCCTTTGATCATACTTTTCTTTATGTGGCTGCTGGATGGGAGGGATCAGCATCTGATATGTCAGTTCTTCGTGCAACACTGAAAGATGGTAAATTTAATGTCCCTGGAGGTAAATTTTTACCTTTTTCCATCTTCTTTTTTAAATCAATTAGATCTAAATTCAGATTATTTTAAATATGTAGGTCGCTTTTACTTAGTTAACTCGGGATATGCTAATACTTCAAAATTTATCGCACTATATCGTGGATCACGCTATCATCTTGGAGATTTTGCAAATGGGACCACCAGAGCCTATCGAGATACTAAAGACAAATATAATCATAGGCATGCACAACTACGTAATGCAGTGGAAAAAAGCATGGCGAATTTTAAAACAAAGATTCAAAATATTAAAAGTTGCTGCTCCATTTCCTTATAAAACTCAAGTCAAAATCGTAGTAGCTTGTTGTGTTCTTCATAATTTTATTGCAAGGCATCAGGGAAATGATAAATACTTTAATATGCTCAATGGATTAGAGAAGAATGAGGATGAAGATGAGGTGGAGGAGGAAGAAGACCACCAATACATGGTTGGTGCAGACGAAAGTTTAAGGGGTGAGCAACTTCGTAACAGAATTGCTTTACAGCTATGGAATAATTGAAATATGTAATAGTCGAATATTTAATTATATGGAGGTTGAATTATGTATTTTACTATCTTTATATGAGCAAAACTTATAATTTTATGCAGAGATATCTAGTAGATTGTTTTTTCCTTGAATAATCAAATCTTTTTTGCATGGTTTATTGTTTCACATTGCACAGTTCAGATTATACACATGAATATCTGACTTGGATATTGTTACCTGGAGTTCAGATCTCTTTTAGCATTATGAACATGCTAATATTCTAAATCATGAGGATGAATTCAGCTTAACAGATTGTCTAAAACATTTTCAAGAACATAATCGCCTGGGATTTTCGGGAGGTCAGGGGATTGGTTATCGAAGGTTATGTCATGGAGATCATTTTGGTATTGGCACTGTTGGATTGAACACGGAGTTATATGACTGTCAGATTTTTATTCACTTGTTAGTATTAAGTTTGCAGTTTTCTTGATTCTCTTTCGAGTTATATGACTGTCAGATTTTTATTCACTTGTTAGTATTAAGTTTGCAGTTTTCTTGATTCTCTTTCACCTGCAATGCCCAAAAATGGAAGCTGATATACGTCATTGGATAGCGCCAGAAAGGCTTCGGTATGTCATGAGGAAGCCTGAAATACCCAGAGACCAGCATGAAGATTCCCTGCAGCATGGTGATGAAAATTAGGTTGTTACCCAAGACTGGATGTTTTCAAAGGGAAATGTATAAAATTTAAATAGAAAGTATGATCAAATAAGCACATGAGGATGACAATTTCAAGCTATCATCTCAGAGGGCTTTTTAGCTGAAATATTACAAGATTTGTTGCTGATCTAATTATATTATTGAAACTGATATTGTTCTCAGGATGCTGAAATTATGTGCACAATTTCAATGAGATTAAGTTTTATTTTCAAATGGAGATGGATATTTTACCTGATTCCCAGCTCCTATGATGATTCCCATGAGGAAATTAGGAACGACACTGGCAATAGCCATCATCAAGCTCTCAACCACCGTGACACTTGCGTACAGGCACAACACAAAGAACAAATAGTGCACGAAGTCCGGATGAGGTAATTATTTAAAAATCTCTAATAAGGGCGAAAGTGGTTTTTTTTAAAATATAATGAGATTAATCTCCTTAACCCATCTTCATTTGCCAAACACAAAAGAGCTAACCCTTTGTCTTAACTATTGTATCCAAACGGGTTTAGAATTTTTTTAACCATTCAGGATGGATTAACTAAGTTAACCCTTCTCGTTAATTCCTCCTCCTTAAACCTTTACCAAACGGGGCCTAAAGGTATAAGTCAAATGATCATTTTCTGTCTTATCTTGTTTCAACCTGTCTTCTGCTTGCACACAGTATAAAATGAGCTCATTTAGAGTCCATTTCTCCTTTTGATACCTATAACGGACCTTGAACTAATTAAGCTGTGTAGGAACAGACAACAGAATCAAATACACCAATAACTCATCACACAGATTGAGTTTAAGTGCCTTAAGTTTTGAAGCAATATGAGATATTTTCATAATGTACTCCCTGATATTTTCTTTGCCCTTATACTTCATTGAAATCAAGTGAGCTAAAAGCATGTTTGTTTCTACCTTATTGTTTTTCACAAAACGTTTCTCAATTTCGGTAAGGAAATCTTTGATCTTAGTAATCTCTTCGGATTCTATGCCCCTGAAGGCTTCCGGAACACCGCGCTTAATGATCATTAGACTCATGCGATTTGAACACTCCTGTTAGACCCTAGAGGGGGTGATTAGGGTCTTATGCTAATCTGATCCGATTATATGCCAATTAAAACTTATTAATAAATATATTCTTGCAAGATAGATATACAACTAATTATGAGCAAGAATATGTAATATGAACAAAGGAATATATCCTAGCAAAGAGATATACTATGAGATATATATATATGTAAGGATATGAAACTAATACAAGGGTAAACAATTTGAAACTAGATAGTGGGCAAACTAAATAATGAGACAATGGCGATATGAGCAATGAGCACAAATAAGAATAAACGCCAAAGCATACTCAAACACAATCAAATGATCACAGAGTTCGGACCTTCCATCCTACGTCTCTGCTCCCCACTCCCGGGGAGAAATTCACTATCACAATCAGGTTTTCTACGTTCACCCGAATAACGTTTACACCTCACACTCGGTTTTCTAGCTAACCGAAAACTTTACAATCAACACTCTTACAATCCCACTCTACATCCTCTCAAGTAATGGACCTAGACGTGTCTCTCTCAAGTGCTCGGATACAACCTCTCCATAGGTTCGTCAACTGACGCCACTCCTTTTGGGACGATCCCCGACTTACACCACACACTTCTCTCGATGTACAAGTGTATTAAAAAGTGAATCTCATAATAAGCACAATACAACAAATGATTATTCTCTAATATGGATGAGAACACAATGTAAGCTCACACTCAATTGTTACAACTCTCACCAACCCAAATATATTATGTATGAAAATACGATAAGCTCAAATGAGTGTGTGTAAACAATGAGTGAAATAAAATCAACTAAACTCAAATGTAAATACTAGCTTAATAGAATGATAATCAAACAATACAAAATGTAAAGCTAGATAGAGTTTAGAAAACTTCTCCAATAAATGACAAGAGAGAGAGAGAGATGGATTGAAGCTCAAATATCAATGAATTGATCTTCACTTCCTCTTGTGGAATTCTTCACAAACCAAACCCTTAAACAAACTTAAAACCAAACTTAAACTCTTTTAAAACTTGTTTAAAACATTTCTTGGATGCTTATAAGAACTGAGGTATAAGGGGGTATTTATATGCAATCCCAAACCCAATAGAAAGCTAAGAAAAGACCAAAAAGCCCCAAACAACAGCTGTAGGAAATAGCCGTTGGTGAATGAAAAGACAGTGCGGCGGTCGACCGTGAAATTCTCGCGGTCAACCGCGAGACATATACAAACCTGAGAAAACTTCCAGAGAAAGCTACGGTCGACCGTGACGGTCGATCGTGGGAACTTACAGGCTGACGGTCGACCGTCACGATCGATCGCGAAAGTCTCTGTTGGCTCCTCAGGAAAAAACATAGGCGCGGTCGACCGTGGTGGTCGACCGTAAACTGACATATGAAAATACAGGTTTGAAAGTTGATTTTCTGATTTTAAAACCTTGTTTAAAAATATCAAATAAATTCAAAAAAAAAGAGTAAAACTTTGGAGAATAATTATAGACATGATAATAAACATGCTACAAAGATTGGTTTTCAAAAAAGACCTCCCAAATAAAAAATATCATTATTTTGCAAAATAGTTCAAAACATAAAAATGTGAACATATGAGTTTTGACATTTTAGCTTAACTATGTTTTGAAACGATACAAAATGATTTTATAGACTTGAAGAAAGATGTAAACTATTGTTATGAAGTCTATAAACAATGAATACAGTATTTTATCAAAATACACATATAATGCACTAAAACATGATTTCATTGAACTAAATAAAATTGATATTGATGAAATCATATATATGCATGTAAGTATAAACAAAAATATGTTTTCTAATTATATTCAATTATTTCATATTAAAACTTGAAAACTCAAAACCATGTATGTATATATATAACTAAATATACATGGAAACCAAAACTTAACTTATGTATATATATATATATATATATATATATATATATATATATATATATATATATATATATACAAAGAAACCAATAAAATGTGTATGCATTTTATATTGAGCTTAAAGTACTAACACACATAATATAACACCTAAACTAAATATTACCCAAACAATCTTGATCTTCAATAAGCTTGACTTGGTACACTTTGCGGATGAAGCTTAAACTTGAATCTTTAAGTTGAATTAAATTGCTTCAACCTTCATTTGATATGATCGTTATGGCACAATCCATCCATCCTGCAATTCGTTGTTTGCCTAGAATAAATATAAAAACATAAACACTAGACAAACAACATTAGAAGTAAATTGTTTGTTAAACATTATCAAAACAAGAAGGCTAACAACTCCCACTTCTCATACTCCTTCTTTGCATCATGAGTGATATCCACATTGAGAGAGTGAGGTTGTCCAGTCCTTAATGCAATGTCTAGATCCATGCAGCCAAGAACAATTAAAATTTTCTAATTTCAAACCTTGAAATTTATCCCATTAAGTATGAAAATTGAATTGATATTAGCAGAAATTATTGTAGCAGATGCATTAGCTGAAATAAACAAAAGATTTTCACATTATTAACCATATTTAGTAATCAATAAAATTCAAATAATGACAAATCCCATCTTAAAAATCTGGCACAACATTAATATCAAGTCTTTAGATAGTAATATTAATTGCAAGTGATATCTTATTACAATGATCAACCACTGACAATAACTCATGTCAAATAATGAAATTATATTTGGATTGATTTATTATTCACATGTAAACCTTATAATTGTCTCGCGTTTATCATCGCAGATGAATATGCAATCTAAATAAATATTAGCATTCCTTTGGGCCTATTAAATATTTACACGAAAGCATACACATAAACATCTAACATCATTCATGAACAATTTACACAAAAGAGGTTACTTTGTCAACATATTGTTTCAATTAATTATTAAAGATGAGAGACAAACTTAATACATTAGTGTCATAATATTTGAATTAAATAAAATTCTAAAATTTACTTGAGCAATTAAAAATAGATTTCTCTATTTTAATTAACGACGGATAGGTCCATTAAAAATAAAGGCCTAAACTTAATTAATTATTTGAGAAATTCAAATAATCCAGACATTAATCACAGTCTCATAACTTAATAAAGCCCATAACTTAATATTTAATTGAAAGATTCAATTAATCCATAATTAAAATTGTTAATGGTCCAACTACAGGCCCATTTCCAAATAGATTTCCTCAAGTGGGCTTGGCCTGTGCCCTAACTCAAATGAGATAGCCCGTAGTTCTCCTCAACCGCAAGTAAATCTCGTCAAAAAAAAATTCCCAAATCGTAAAGCTCACAAAAGTATCATCTATGATTTCAAATTTGTCGAACCAAGAATCAAGCTTACCTGAGAGAGCTTCGAAACTCGCCTGAACGGAGTTCGAAGCTCGCCTGAATTTGAGGGTCGAGCTCGCCTTTGAGATTGAGACTCAACCCCGAAGCTCGCCTTTGTCAGATCGAGCTTCGCCTGAAATAGAAAATTGAGCTTGCCTGCAACAAGCTTCGACTTCGCCTAAGTCGAGCAGAAGCTTGCTTGAGTCGAACCCGAGGTTCGCCTGATTCTGAACACGAGGTTCGTCTGAATCGAACATGAGGTTCATCTGAAATTTCGAACATGAGGTTCGTCTAAAATTTCGAACACGAGGTTCGTCTGAAGCAAATCGAAGTTCGCTAGAATCGAACCAAAGTTTGTCAGAAGCTTTCAACAAAGTTCGCCCAAAGTTCAAAGTTCGACAACCGCATCAAGGCTCGCCTGAAGTAAACTTAAAGTTCGTTGAATCGAACCGAAGTTCGCCTGAGGTCAGGTAAGTCCTCAAGCCCTTATTTCCACCTTAGAGTTTCGAAAAACCTGAACCGCCGCCACTGCTGCTTGGGCTCCTTCACCTAGGGTTTCGAATACCCTAGGATTCCTGATTGTTGCCGTCGCTGTCTTCATTTGACAGCGGGGCCACCAGCGACAAATCGCCGGCGAGGAGCACAGCGAAGGACGGCTAAAGACCAAAATTTTGTTGTTCTTAATCCATAAATTAGATCCAACAACCCGAAATAAAGATGATAATCTTTCATACAATCTGGATCAAGAGTTTGATCCAGATTTAACATGAAGAAATCAAACCAAAAAATTGGCCGAATGAAGAAATCAAGCCAAAAAACATGAACTTTTACTGTTCATACGAGAACAATTCTAAAAATCATTGATTTAGATCAAAAAATCCCATTTTTAATCTTAAATCCCTAAGAACTAATCACAGTGGCTCTGATACCACTTGTTGGTACTTAAAACAATCTAATATAGATCTAATAACCGTGATTAATCTAAAGAGATTTAATACAACAAGAGCGGAAGCTATACCTGAATCCATTACACGGATCTGAATTAGGGTTTTGATGATCTTCTAATCTTGAGGGTCTCTCCTTAAGAATCTTTTTAGATGGGGATAAGAGAATAGAGAATGTTAACCCTAGATTAGGGACCATAACTCCTTATTTATAGGTGTTGTACTTTTATAATTTGGCCCCTCATCAAATTATAATTATAACTTGGTATCTGCACATTTTAGCCCATAATTTATTTAAACACCCATTAATCCAAATTAATTGATCACTTTATGCTGGTTATCCATAAGGATAGCAATACACACTGATTAATCATTTGTGCCTACAAATTAAATTTAATTAGAATTAAATCCAACAGATAGTGGTTCTATGCTGTTGGGCTCGGCTGGGGCGAGGAGAGGGAGGCCGGAGAAGTTGCATAAGGGTGGTGGTGGTGGAGAAGGAGGATTGGAAGAGGGAGATGGGTCGTCGAAGATTTAGGAGAAGGGTCTTTTTCTGACCATTTTGAAGGATGAGTTGAGATCTTGTTGCGGTTGTTGTTGTTGGAGGAGAAACAAGAGGAAGAGGTCTTCTTGAGATAAAGATTGGGATTGGGTGGTTAGTTCAGTAATTACCCACCTAGGGTTTGCACAAACCTAAGCTCATATCATCATTTTTAACCATAATCTTAGCAAGCACAAATATTAACAACTAAAGTGTAATTGAGAAATTAATATCAAAATATGAAGATTTGAGGGATTAATATTAAATTCACTATGATTTAAGGGACCAATATCGAAAATCCTCTCTCTAGTGAATGAGATTGAATTGGTATTAATCTTCTTTGATCATCTTTGCTTGTAATCTTTAATTTGGAATTTCCAATGTAGTTTACTAGTCTGCATTTCCAACCCAATTTAGTTCAAAAGTTTCTTAATTGGTTTTTGTTGCAATCAACAACCTTCCTGTCAAATTTTTCAAAAGAAAACCCAAAATTACCCTTAAAAACTCACTCTCAAGGTAAATGACTCATCTTTTTAGTGTTTAGGCCTTATTAGGATACAACTCACATGCCTTAAACTTTATTTTTAAAGCTTATTTTTGCAATCTAAGTAAAAATTTGACTGGGAAGTGGTTGATTGCAATAAAAACCTACATTAAAGGTGGTTTATGTATAAATTGAAAAGGAAAGTTAGTTTGTATAATTACCCTATTTTAAGGTGGTTTCTAGACAAAAATCCTAAGGGCGTTAGTCAAATAGGACTCAAAACTAGAATTAGGATAATTTGTAGGATAAAATTTTATATTGTTACTCATCTAGAACTAAAACTAGAACTAAATTTTACAATGTTAGTCAACTAGAACTCTAACAATACTAGAACAAGGATAATTGTATAAAATTATCCCACTCTTTTATTTTATTTTCTATCTATTTACCCTTTAAAAGAGGGAGTTCATGAAAAACTTTACCCTCCCCAAAATAGCCTTCCACCAAATTTAATTACCAAACATATCCCAAAATAGCCTCCCAAACTACCCCATCATCAGTTACGCCTATTTTCCTCCTACTCCTTTCAATTCATCGGTTATGCCTATCTTACTGAAATGTATCCTATCATCAGTTACGCCTATTTTACTGAAATTTATCCTATCATCAATTACGCCTATTTTACTGAAATTTATCCTGCGATCATATTCAATCATACACATTTAGAGCACAAGTCCCGGAGATCTCTGATTTATCCTGCGAATGATGGATTTAGGTGACTTTTTCCTTGAAAACCGTAGATCTCTGAATTCGATAAATCTCAAACTCCTTCGCAAAATTGATTATTTTTTTCTTCTCTGTTGTTATCTGTTCAGTGTTTGAGTTCCTTGGACAAGTCCCATTGCTGCAGAGACTCCCTAGTTCTTTTTTTTGTCAATGAAAAAGAGATTTTATTCATTACCAAATGTAGAAATAGGGTACATCATGATACTCATCATGTGAGATATCCCTCATTATAATACAGGAACAAAATCAAACTAGTTACAGGTTACAATGCTAGCATCAGATGCTTAAAATCCTCCGATTGATCACTGTTGAGAATATGTCTCTGATCAAATGCTCAACACTCTTGCTGTTTTGGCCAAAAATCCTTGCATTTCTTTCTCTCCAAACACTGTAAACAGTCGCTGCCAATGCCATCCTCTTAACCTTGTGCTTGAGTCCATTTCCCTTCAACCTGGAGTTATACCAGTTTAGAAGTATACACCAATCACAAGATCTCCATTTAAAATGAATCCAATCCATAATTCCATTCCAAACATCTCTTGAAAAGCTACAATCAAAAAACAAATGATTCCTGCATTCAGTAACAGCTCCAGAGCACAATTTGCAGTGATTGATATTGATAATTCCCCTTCTTAGAAGTTTATCCTGTGTGAGAAGTCTATCATGAGCAGCTAACCAAAGAACAAAAGCATGTTTAGGAAAGCTCAGACATTCCCATACTGTTTCACGCCATAGGACATTAGCTGATGCTGGATACAGGGCATAATATAAGGCTGATAGCTTCAGTTTAGAATTTATATGACATGAACTAATTAGTTGCTTCAGGTTTGATACACCACCACAGAAATTCAACACTTTATCACGAACTTTCAAGAGTTGCTTCCACATCCATGAATCCCCAACTTTGATTTCAACTTGCCAGATATCTCTATTTTGCAGATATGTTTCATGAAGTCACTTGATCCAAAGAAGCTCTTTGTTTGTATGAATATACCAAAGATTTTTTAGAGCAGAAGCAATGTTCCATGTGACTGCTGAGAAGATCCTTAAGCCACCCTGAGCTTTCCCTCTACAAACTATGTCCCATGAGACAAGAGGATGCTTGAAAGAATTATCTGTTTTTCCCCCAAAGAAAATTTCTACACAGCATATCAATTCTTTGAAGAACTTTAGTTGGTAGAATGTAGCTTGACGTCCAATATAATTGGACTCCCAAAATAACACTTTTCTTACAAAGATCACTGAGCTCGTAAGGATCAAGCGATACAGTGAATTTCTCAATTCCTCTCAATCTTTTGAAATATTTTGTTTAATTCTTCAGAGGTTGCTTATTGAATAGTGGTGTTTTGAAAGGTGATAGGATGAACAGTAACGTATTAGATTATTGCGAGTTTAATGAATTTTTGGGATTTATTTTGATATTTTTCGTTAAAAACCTATCTATTAGAAAGTAGCTGGTAATTGACTTTGTTTGTGGTCCACTCAGGCGAGTCAAAGCCAAAAGCCTGCAATTTTAGTTATAATTGCAGTAAACTTTAAGCATTATTTAATTTTACAAATAATAGAAATTTCAGAAAGTTTTGGTTAATTTTTTCGAAGATTTCTTGTTGCTTTGAAAGTTTGACCCATGCACACACATCCTGTTGTCAAAGAAATGTTGGTTTATTCAGTATGCAGCAATAAAAACACAAATTTTCACAATGAGAGCACTAAAAAGGTTATAATTATTGGTGATTCCTTCTCCAAGGGATCAAAATGGTGGGTACTTTGCACATTGCTGGTCTAATTAAAGTGTCTTAGTGTTGGTTTGGCAGCCTATTACCAGTAGACATGATTGTATCATATAAATAGCTTTTAATCCAAGGAAAATTTCTTGAAATATGCTATAGATATTTATTTATTTTTTAACTCAAGTTTTTGTCTCTTATTTATCTAATTTCTGAACTGTCTTCTTTTTGGGATATTTGTGTATAGATCCTGGTGAATATGTTGTTCGAGAGGGGGAAGTTGGGGAGGCACTGTACATTATTTGGGAGGGTGAGGTATTAGTACCGACTCTTCTTTCATTTGTATGATGCAGTGAAAGGATTTAAAATGTGGTTCTGTTTCATATTATTGTACTCTCTCATAAGATCAATTATCTAAATGTAGTTAATCTTAATTATAAGTTGTTTCTGTAACTATAGTGTGATTCTCTAGAAAAGAAGACCATTTTTGAGAATATGGCATTTCTATGTTCGATGGATTTAGGTGGCTTGGTGCTGGAGAGCTAAAAGAGAGCTGTTAAGTGGCAAGAAGATTTTAGGACAATGAAAATATATAAAAGAATGAATATATCTACCTTACATATGATACATAAGTACAACTATGACCTAAAGGATGAAAGTAAAATAATCCAGTAGAGATGACACTTAAGAGCAAAGTGAAACTACAAAACACATTGGTGATTTTTATTAAAAATACAAGACTGCTAAAGATAGCAACATTTAATGAAGTCCTTATTCCAAATTGCGCGGTTGCTACATTAATCCTTTATGAAGTCCTTTATTTTATTTTTTTCCCCGAACTCTCTTTAATTTATTTGCTTCATCATAATTTGTTTAGGGTTTCAATATTCAAAGGGAAGCAGGAGCAATATTAAAAAGTAAGTTTAATCTCAATCTTTACATTTCTCAGTTTAAAGTACTTTGAGCCTAACCAATCACGACTGGAAATCATGTGAAGAAGCTAAATCATAATGAATATGCTTCTCCAACAGGGTTGAAGAAGCAAAATTTCATCTGGGAAGCACTCATTTATCTCATTTATGAAGATTTAGTTTGGTGTGTCACCCATAATAGTGTTTGATCTTTTTTATGAAGTTTCATCTAGAGAGAGTTCATGGCTTCCCTCTCTGTTGCACTTCAATATTACATACATTTGAGATTGAACCGGACTCAAGGATGGCAGTCTACAAAGGTAGGGATCTAGATGTCAATTATGCAGCGCCATTCAAGTCCTTGCTCAACCTGGCCATTCTTTGCACAGCAATGTAATCATTGCTGGTTTTCTTTAAATTGCTTTGGTTTTCAGGATACTTATCTCTCTAATTATATTCATGGAGCTCTTCATTGGGTGATTATGTGAAGGTAATCTTATCTGATTCAAATGTTCCTGGCGAAGGAGAGCAGAAAATCATGACATACACTTCTGACTCGTCGTTTGGAAGAACTTCTCCCTATTTTTTCTATTCCCACAACACCGCCATCGTCCAAACCTTTTTTATGTGCAGGATGCAGATCTGATAATGCTCTCTCTTGCTACACATGAAGTTTATTTCTTAATTTTAAGAGAGGTATGTAAAAGCTTTCTGCATCTTTATGAGAGAAATATATATTTCACAAATGCATGTGACCTTTTATATGTTTCCATACGCAATGTCTTCTTTATGTGTAATGCTTGACTGGTTATACAGGTGGTTACAATGCTAGGGCAACAAGATAAATGCTTTTCCTGTGGTCAAGTAGGACATCTTGCAACTGAATGTAGAGGTACAGAAGCAAATGACAAGATTTATATTACAATTCACAAGAAGAAATATCATGTGACTTTTCGGATGTAAAGCATGTTTATAATTCAATTTTGAAATTCATGTTTTGGCTTTTTATACAATTTCTATTAGTTATATATCATCACGTGACTTATTCTTTTCTTCTGTTGACAGTTCCTGAACATCTGGGTATTGCGGGAGTACTGGGAGAATGATCTGGACATATCACACCCTCCGTTTGAGATAAACTTTGAACGTATTGTGGATGATTTTGTTTTCATGTGCTTCTTTGTGGGAAATGACTTTTTACCACACATGCCCACTCTTGAAATCCGTGAGGTTCATAACAGGCCTTATCACGTGCTTGAAAATTTTAAGCTTAATGCCTGAATTGTTTCAATACATTGTTGAGCACACATTTATTCGCTGTATATCCTGAGCTTGAATATGTCGAGTTACTTATATCTTATTTCCTGTGATCTCTCTGTGTTTTAGGACGCAATCAATCTGCTAATGTTTATCTATATAAGGGACTTCTCAGCGATGGGCGGTTACCTCACTGATGCTGGAGAGGTATTTTTTCTCTTATCAGACAACATCTTTCATTTTTATTTAGAGGTAGCACATTTTGTAAAATTTTATGTTTTTGGGAATTGCAAGCATGTGAAATGTTGTGATTAACATTTTTTGGGATTTTTTCCTGATAAAATGTTAAAGTTCAAGGGAGTTTTATGATAACCACTAAATCTACGGGATGTTTTCTTATATTTTGAAAATTATATGAGAGTTGTGTTATAAATCTTTCGAAGCTAAGATGTACTCTTGCAAATAATTAGCCTAAAAATAATAATAACAGCCCTTGAGCAAAGCTACCGTAGGAAACAATTGTTATGCAATTTGTTGAATCACAAGAATACAATATTTTTAGTTGTATAGTATGCGTTTGGATCTGCACCATCCTGACTCTTATGCATAAGGTACTTTTTTGCTGCATTTGACATAATCCTACTTGTTTACATGTGTTTATGTAATTTAAATGTGAGTATATAATTTCAGATACAGCAGCTTTTTTATCTTATACCATCCTGGCATCACAAGCGAGGACAGCATGATATTTATAGCTCTGGACTACATCAAAGTACCAAAAATGTTTCATTGCATATTGGGTTTCATCTATTGGCTATCATGAGGGAATGACTTCATCCTTTGGTTTTTGGTAATGACAATCCTCTGAAAAATACTTCATTAGGATACCAAACAAGTGGAACTTCTATTCCGATTATTTCTATGCAACTATCATTGCTCTTGAAAATTATGTGCCAAGTATGTATCTTATATTATCAAAATCTATGTCGATATTTATCACAAAAAAAATTGTTACTTCCTATTTGGCCATCGATAAACTTCTTTTGTTAGAACACATCTTGTCATAGGGAGCCCACACATGTATACTTACATGCTCAGGCAGCGAAAGAAGGATCTTTCAAAGGCGAAGATGGAATGAAATGTGATGAAAGAAGGAATAGTAAATATTTAGCGAAAGAAGGATCTTTCAAAGGCGAAGATGGAATGAAATGTGATGAAAGAAGGAATAGTAAATATTTATTAATGTATTATTTGAAGAATGCATAGCTGTTAGATGGTGGCTCTGCATGAGTGGTTGTATTGGTGTTCTCTAATCCCTAAGATTGTCTTCTTGTTGGAAGGGAGTGCTTTTGGTATAGTTGTGAATGTATTCCTCTGAAAAAACATATTGCCAATGTTTTATGATTTATGGATTAAATGTTTTTTATTTCATCTATGTGCTCATCTAAAAAAGCCTTATTTTATGAAACGTGATAACAGTGAACTTATTTGGATTTATTGTTTGGTTATTTTCAACGTCTAAAATATACTATAATACTTCTATAGACATTTGTTTAAAAACTACAAGTGTTTCTACTTTCAAGATTATTAAGGGTTCATGTTTGTTTTCATCCTTCAATTATGTCAATTTTTTGACTGAAGCAATTTCAGAAAATGAACATTTATTAGCTTAATTGGAGGAAGATTTCCAACAATTTTACCCAAACTTAATTTAATTTGAGGTAATAATTATTTAATTTCCAAGATAATCTATAACAAAATCCATTATGACGTTATTCTTTCTTGACGAGAAGAATCATTTGTGATTAGTCTATTGTGTTTTTTGAAAGGTCATGTGACTTTGTTTTACTTCGATAAGTTAAATGCAATGACTCTTACGACATAGGACTTCAAAGATGACTCTACGGAGTTGAGTTATGCTTGAATAAGTAAGACTAATTTTTTTTATAATACTATTTTAGTAACATTTATATTGGATGATTTTGATTAAATA